TGACCACTGGACCCAGTAGGTGTAGGGTGGCTCTTCTGGGCCCTGGGGAGCTGCCCACACCAAGGTGATGGAGGTGGTGTTGCGGTCCTGCACTTTAAGACTTGGAACTGCGTTGGGAACTGGTAGAAGGGGCACAAAATCAGGGTTCCTTGTTCCCAATCTCTGAACTTCCAGAGGGAAGGAGTGATTCCCTTTCTTCTATACAATCCTGATATCTAAACAGAAACACTCCTAGCAATTAGACCTAGAACTCTGAGATGTAGTGGTCCTGGAATATCTAGAATTTGTCTACCTTTTCAGTGACTACAAGATCCCAATGATCTCCCTTTTGTCCACATCAAGTGATTTGAAAAAGGCTTAGGGATACCTCACCTGTTACTGTTGTTAAGTGTAATCAAGTCAGGTATGACTCATCTGAACCTTGTTCTATAACTATCACCGTTTTTTATTGTTTTTATGGTTTTCAGAAGCCCATTATTCAAGAAGTGGATGCCAATCCTGCTTTCAAGTCTGTCATAATCTGAGACCTCGACCAAACCCTGCCCAACACAGGTAACCACCATTATGGCATTTGACACACAAATGGGACAGCTTTCAGTATCACAGTAACCCCAGGTTATCTCAGTACAGCAAACTGACAGACAAGTGCTGTACCACTTAGAACAGTGTTCTCCCACAACACATTTAATACCACCCTCCAGAGTTAACTTACCCTCCAGAATCCAACTACTTCACAGAGGAGCCTCCAAATTGGAGACTTAGTCAAGGCCCAATCAACTTTTAAATACAAAGGCACACACACTAGGTCTTGGTTGATTTAAAAAAGAGGCTTCCAGCCCACTTCTGATTGTATGCCTCACCTGTAGACACATCAGTTGTCACTTTGACACTGTTGACGTCGTTTCTCTGAACCCAGACAGCGAAACTGTACAAGGTCCCAGGCTCCAGCTCCTCCACTGTGACCCAGGTATCTGATGTGCTCTGGTTCCCTTGTAGGCTGTCTCCTCTTGACCACTGGACCCAGTAGGTGTAGGGTGGTTGTTCTGGGCCCTGGGGAGCTGTCCACGCCAAGGTGATGGAGGTGGTGCTGCGGCCCTGCACCTCAACACTTGGAACTGCATTGGGGACTGGTAGAAGGAGCAAAACGTCAGGGTTTTATGTTCCCAGTCTCTGAACATCTAGAGTGAAGGAGTGATGCCCTTTCTTCTATGCAGTCCTGATATCTAAACAGAAATACTCATAGCAATGAGACCTAAAATTCTGAGATGTAGTGGTCCTGGAGCATCTAGGACTTGTCAGCTTTTGCAGGACTACTTTATCAAGATTTCAGTGATCTTCGTTTGCCCACCCCAAGTGCTATGTAAAGACTTAGGGATCTAAGACTGTTTGGGACCTGTAGATGCGTCAGTTATCACACTAGTGCTGTTGACATCATTCCTCTGAACCCAGATAGCAAAGCCGTACAAGGTTTCCAGTTCCTCCTCCACTGTGACCCAGGTATCTGAGGTGCTCCCGGTTGTCCCCTCTTGACCACTGGACCCAGTAGGTATAGGGTTCTGGGCCCTGTCCAGGTCAATATGATGGAAGTGGTCTTTCAGTCCTGTATCATGACACTTGTCACTGCTTTGGGGACTGGTAGAAGAAGCAGAGAGTCAGGGCCCATTTCTCCACATCGGACCTTCTACAATGAAGAGGAGATGTTCTTTCCCCCATACATTCCTGATATTTAAAGGGACACACTCCTAGCAAGGGTACCCTGAAGAGGAACCTAAAACTCTTGAGTTTTAAGGGTAGAAGGTTCAGACCAGTTGTACTTTCCAGGAACAGGCTCCAAGCATTTTTATCCATCCCAGAGTGCTTTGCCAATGATGCCAGGATAACGCACCTGTTGATGCGTTAATCTTCTCATCTGTAATGTCGATACCATTCCTCTCAACCCAGAGTGTGAAGGTGTACGAAGTCCCAGCTTCCAGGCCTGTCACTGTGACCCTGGTATCCGATGTTTCCTGAGTCCCTAGCAGGCTGTCTCCCTTTGACCACTGGATCCGGTAGCTGTCCAGTGTTTGGTTGAGGTTCAGCGAAGCTGTCCAGTTCAAAGTTATAGAGCTAGTGTTCCGGTCCTCTAGCTCAATATTTATCACTGGCTTCGAGTCTGGCAGAAGAAACAAAGATTCAGTCTCCCACCTCACTGGTCTCCCGGTTCCCAAGTGACCAGAGGCCAGTGACCACCTTCCCCACACAGCCCGCTTGTTAAGAAAGACTCTTTGCAAGAGGACCCAGAGACACCTGGGCTTCTGGAGCCCGTGTTCAGTGGTAGGAAGCTTCTAGAATGCTCTTTCCAGATAATACATGGAAGGGCCAAATTCATCTAGCCCTTCCAATGCACTGCACCCCGATACTCTCTGGGTATGAGCCCTGAAGTTCAGCCTAGTTCAGGACAATGAGGTTATAGGTCAGAACCACCAGACTTGGGGTTTCTCCTGAAGAAATCAGAAGAAATGGTTTACTGTGAGCACGGGCAGAGCTAAGTCCTTTTCCTTCAACCACCTCCAGGTCTTGCCCCAAGTTCAAGCAATGATACTTGTCATCAGTCTCTGCAAGGAACCACCATGGTGACTCCTCCCCCCTGCCCCAAGAGATTGAGGTCCAGTCTCTGTGTGTATACATAGGCAAGAATTACTCACCGGCCGCCCTGGCTCCTGTCCAGATCCACACACCCTGCAGAGAACCCAGAGAGGGCCGACTCAGAGGGTGACCCTCCCTTCCTCCTCCCAGGTGAGGTTGCCATGGTGCTCGGGGCCCAGCAGTGTTTTCCCCAGATCCCCACCCCATGAGTCATCTCTACCTGTGGTGGAGGCAGGATTTCTGTAGGCTGTGTCTCCCCCCAGGGCTGGGTTCTGGCAAAGGTCACCCCAAACCTGGTCTAGTCTAAAGTGGGAGAGTGCAGGGGGAGGAGCTCCAAGGTTCTACGAGCTTGACCGATAAGGTCCGGAGATAAACATACTGATTGGCTCCACTTCCTGAAATAAATGTTCTTGGGCAGCTGGGGGCAAGGAAGGAATCAACAAATTGGGAAAGCTTGAGAGAGAAAGAGGTTGGGACCAAGGGCTAGATTCCAGGTTCCAAGGGCGGAGAATCTGGAAGCCTGCATGACGGAAAGTGGGACGGTGGGCATGGAGGGCTGACCTGAGGGCTGAGGTGGTAGGGGTCAGGACATGCTCTGAAGGAGCAAAAGGCTGGGGCAGGGTTGGGGGGAGGATCTGAGGGAAAAGAGAACTACAGGCTCTGTTCCTGCATCTCATGGGGACGGGAGTTGGAAGTGCCTGGACTTCTGTGTCTGAGGGAGGAGGCGTTGTGGATTCGAACTCCTGGGCCTGACAGGGAAAGTGCTAGGGTCTCTCCTCCTGGGTCTGAGGGAGGATTGAAAGATAGGATTCCAGGGTCTGAGAGAGGAGGAGCTGGGGGCCTGGGACAAGGATCTGTGACTGGGGAAAGAGGGCTGGGGTTCGGGGGTCCCTGATTTTGTGGGGAAAAGTGATTGGAGGAATGGATTTCTGAGTCAGAAAGGAAAAGGAGCTTGGGGTCCAGAATCCTGGATCTTTTGGGACCGTAGGGTCTGTCCTGAAGCCCAGTTCACATTCACACCCGTTCCTGGACCGCATAAGAGCCCAGGGGTCAGTCTCCACCACTTCCACCACTCTCCAGCCTCTTCATGCTCCCATCGCATTTCATCGCATCCTCAAAGTCACAAACAAGCCCCCAGAACCTCCTTTCTCAGTCCCAGGATCCCTGCCCCATGAGAACCACTCACCAGCAGCACCAGGCACCCCCAGGTCCTGGGACCCCCGCTGGCCCCAGGCATGTCTTCAGATACTGAGACTGCACAGGGACACAGCCAGGCACCTGGCACCTCCTGGACTTTCAACTCCAGAATTTCCCCTTTCTCAGCCCATTGGTGGGGCCAGAGGCCAGCAGGGCAGGAAGGGGAGGAGGAGGAAGTGGAGGTGACAGCCTCCCTCCAGTCTTCCCTCTCATCCTCTCTCCTCACTTCTGCTTCTCCAGCTACCACTGGAGTCTCCTCTCCAGCCTTGCCTAAGCTCCTCAGCCCCAGCCCACTTCATTTTATCTGCTAAAGGCTCAAGCCCAGTGCATTTGATGAAAAACACCCAGAGTCCAGGCTCTGTCCCTCTACAGCTTCATGGGGCCACAGAGCAAGACCAGAGGTGGTCAGAACAGGGAGGGAGCGGAAAGAAGGTCCTTCTCAATCGATGATTGATGACTCATCAATACTTGTATCAGGGATTGACTTACTCTTGTTGAATGGCATAGAACCAACCCATAGCTGACCCTCCAGCAGCTTTTCAGAGCAAGCTAATTGCACAGGATGAGACGGCCCATCTTTCTCCTACGGAGCAGCTGGTGGATTAGAACCTCATACCCTTGGGTTGGCAGTGGGATTCCTTACCACTAAGCTACCAGAGCTTCCTATGGATTGAATGATGGCTTCCAAAACCAGATGTACTGTAAGTCCTAACCCCTGTATCTGTGGTCAGAGAGCCCTGGGGATGTAGATGGTCAGGAGCTGGCTGCCACCTCCCTGAGCCTTGGCTCTCTTACTTGTCCTGGTCAGTGTCCTGCTGGGACAGGCTAAAAAGCAAGGCTCCAGGGGCTGACGGAGCACCAGCCAAGAAGACGCTTCACCAAGGGGTGCAGCACTGGAAGCACGCACTCATCTAGGCAGAGAAATTTGGTAGACAGCTACCCAGCCAACAGACTGGAAGAGGACCACATTTGTTTATCCACTCTCAAGAAAAGGGATTCTGGGTTGGGAAGGGTGTAATCATAGAGTTGCACAATTTGATGTGTAGAGGGAGGGGTGGCTTAAGAAAATGGGAAAGATCCCTGAAAAACAAAGTATACAAACTTTTTAAGTAAACCAGTATAAAAGTTTTGTATTAAATGAAAAAAAGAAAAAGGGTACAAAGGAATGCAGACATTATCAAACCGTGTCTTTTTTTCAGATTTTAATGAAAGTTTATAAAGAATTTGGATTTTTATTCATTCATTGTTGCACATTTTCCTCCCCACCCCCAGCCCTCAGTCCCTGCAGGGGACACTTCTTTCCTGTTTAGGAGGCTGGGCATTCAAATTCAGGGTACTTAACGATGTCAGTCTGGAGACTGAGGTGCTCCTGATCCAGGCCCTAGTCTTCATAATTACGTGCTATACATCAGAGAGTTGGACAATGACTAGGGATGATAGAAGGAGTATTGATGCCTTTGAGCTGTGGTGCTGGAGAAAAGTATTCAGTATACATGGACTGCTAAGAGAACAAAACAGGCTCATCCTGGAGAGAGTGAAACCAGGCTGCTCTTTGGAGGCAAGCATTCTGAAGTTTCCATCTGACATACTTTGGGCATGTTGCAAGGAGAGACCAGTCCTTGGAGAGGGATGTCATGCTTGGGAGGGGGGAGGGACAGCGCAGGAGATGAAGACCCTCGATAAGATGGATTGATTCAGTCACTGGGGTAATGGGAGTAGGTGTGTCCGAGACAGGTTGGCACAGGATAGAGCACGGTTCAGGGCTGTTGTACATAGGGTCGCTTTGAGTTGCAGGCAACTCAACAGCACATAACAACAACAGATAACAATCTATGGCAGGACTTTTTCTAAGTCTTTCTAAAGGAAAGACTTCTCTCAGCTTCTGTAGCCCTCGTGTTAATTGGTTCTTTGATTGATCTTCACGGGGTACCTCTCTCTCCCCCTATCTGTGCCTATTTGGCTTTGGGCTTACGCTACACCAAATAACTCAGAATCGATTAGACTTTTCACCACATTCTACACTGACAGGGCCTCACCGACACAAGACAGAAAATCCTATTTCCAAGTGTGATGTCATTTACCAGTACAGGGATTAAAATCCCAATAGCTATTTTGAGGTAACACAATTCAATCTATATTTGAGATCTTGGTGAAAGCCACAAGGTCTTTTATGACCTTGGGTCAGAAATAGCAGGTCATCATTTGTGACTTTTTAAACACGTGGAGATGGGCAGGAGAAGAAATGACTGTCACCTTGGAAGTTGGCTAGCACAGCATAGTTTTGCATGGATCACTAATTCAGTAAATGGTTGGTATTTTTTTATAACTTTACAGTATCCACCTTCTCCCCATTTGTCAAGCATATTCTGCAGGGGGGGAGGGAACTAACACTTATTGCAAACCCCTGGGGCCAAGTTGGTTTATTTACAGCATCCTCATTCTAGAGGAAGAAGCTGAGGTAAAAAAAGGGACATGACCTGGGGTCCAACTTCTGTCTCCTAGATTTGAACTCTTTCTACCTCATTCTTTTATTACTTTTATTATTATTATTAAAGTTTATAAAGAACTTGGATTTCCATTCAATCATTGTTGCACATTTTCCTCCCTGTCCCCCCTTCCCTCCAGTTCACTTTTTTCCTTTGGAAAAAAAATTCTTTCTTTGTTGTACATCCCTCCCCCGACTCCCAGACACTTTACTATGCAACTCTTATTCTGGACTTTTATCATGCTAATAATACCCAATCATATGTTCCTTTTATACAGTTCTCTCCCTTGTCTGTTTCATTGCTGTGTACCTTATTTATCCCCTCTTTTCTTAGTTTCCTCCCAACCCCCATATCAGTCCTGTTTTATAACAGTGGCATTATGCAGTATTTGTCCTTTTGCGACTGATATATTTCACTTAGCATAATGTCCTCCATGGCTATCCGTTTTGTATAATATTTTATGAGTTCCTTGTTTTTCAGTGCAGCATAGTATTCCATTGTGTGAATATACCACAGCTTCTCTATCCATTTGTTTGTTTATGGGCACTTGGGTTGTTTCCAACTCTTTGTTATTGTGAACAGAGCTGCAATAAAATGAGTGTGCATATTCTGTGCCAATCTTATTGTCTTCAACACACTTACCCCATTACCCCAGTCACTGAATAATCCATCTCACGAAAAGATAGAGTCACCCCATTTGTTGAGTTGTATCCCCCTGAAAAAGAGTTGGTCAACTATGGGAAGTAGTTTGACACTTCCTTAGAAAGCTGGGGCTAGAAATACCACATGATTCAAAACAGCAATGAGATATCATCTCTCCCCTCTAAGAACAGCACAATTTAAC